CGTTCTCCCACTTGCACCTCCCTGCTCTCCCTCCTCCTCCCCCTGCAGCCTCGCTCGGCTCCTCCAGCTTCTCTTGCCGCCCCTCTGCTATGTTTCTCCTCAGCCACAGCCCTGCGGATTTTGTGTGTGCTTGAAAGCTCTTCCCCTCGCTGCCATGGGCAGGCTCCTGGTGCACACAGCGGGCCCTGCCATAAGCAACTCCAGGCCTCCATGTGCTGTATGGCCACGTGTGAGCCAGGGTTAACGAGTGAGCAGAGCTGGACCTGCTGGGACAGAGGATGCGCTGGAGCTCAATGTGGAGCGACCAGACCCCTCCTGCTGCCAGCTGCTCTGCAGCAGCGAGCCCCAGGGAGCTGGGCCTTTGCTTCCTTCTGCCTTCGCCTCTCCCCATATCCCTGCGGAAAAAGCCCCTTCCTTCCCACCAGGCTTGGACGTGTGCGACCCTTACACATGGCTCGAAATCCCCCACCTGCACTCAGCAGATGAGGCGAGAACGGGGACTCTGACCCCTTATATCTATGTTTGCATTTTGCTGATCAGCAGATGATGCAGGGCCCAGGGCAATCATCTGCCTATCAGAGAGGGGAGAAACCACCCAAGCTGCTCCAAAGGAGTAGGAATGACAAGGAGAGCATCACCACTTTTGGGAAGGTCAGGAGGGACCAAATTTGATTCGGTCGGACCGAATCACAGACTCTGTGGATCTCTGCCCTATTCCTGCTCAACTCACTGCTTTCCAAGCAATCCACGAGGAAAAAGCCTGGGATCTGTCTCAGGGGGACACCCTCCCATCGGAAATGCTGCAGTGGAAAGTGCTGCCCCCCAGCACAGCCTGATAGTCTGGGGGCCAGACCCCTTCTGGAGCTGAAACAAGGCCCGGAGCAGCCCAGCGCCGCAGGGAGAAGGGATCCTGAAGGCAGGAGGGAGCAGGAGGGCAGGGCCCCAGCGCTGGACGCAGACCCCAGGGCCGCAGCGCCCGCGCCACTCCGCTCTGCCGCTTGGCTTCACCCCCGCACCATGGGGCATCCCACGCCGCCCTGCTCCCTGGCTCACTCGCCGCTGGGCTTTAGGTTTTGCTGCTTATTTACCTTCACTTCCCTAGCAGGAATTTTCAGGAAGAGGTTATTGATTTTCCCCCATTCGGTCACGCTGCCTGTGCCTGGCTCCAGGCTCTGCGGACACCCGTGAGCTCCCGCGGGCAGGATGGGATCTGTCCTCAGCCTGCATCGCCGGGACATGCGACTCCTCCGGCTGATCCAGCCAAGGCTTTAATCCATGCCACGGTGTTTGATGCAGAGCCTCACAAGGCAAATGCCATCCAGAGCTCGAAGGGTTTATTCCTGCCTCTAATTCCTGCTTCCTGCATCTCTTCTGCAGACTCTAGTTAGAAGGGCAAACCTAGTGGTGTGATTCATTACCAGGCACTCTGAGTTTCTACAGCCTCTCATTTTCTGTTTTTTAAATCCATTTTATATTATCTTAGCTATTTACCTGGCCTGCTGTGATAGATACAATGGAGCCAGAAGTTGTCAAGTATTTCAGATGAGATCCTGTTCTGAACACCGTGTCTGCCATTGCTCGCTGCATCCCGGTGGCTCTGTTCCCGCCGCGCGGCGGCTCGGGAGCGAAGGCACCGCGATGCTGTGTGTTCACACCACACACTCGTGGCCGGGCTTCACAGGCACGCGCATTGTTCTGGCTCCACGCAGTATTTTGTGAATTCTCTTTTGCTAGGACAAATGCCATAAATAGAATGCTAAATGCCAAAAACAGTTCTGAGTGAATTAGCAGAGGTAGCATCAGACCTCTCAGGAATGCTAGGAGAAATGAGACTGAGTCGTTGGGCTGAATAGGTCTGTGCCAGAAAACTCTCAGAGGGAAAGTACTACTCCTATAGGAGGTCCTGCTGCTGATATAGCTCTTACTGGATTTACATGCTTGGTTTTGTTTCCTTCCAACGCTTTTAAAATGGCCTTTCTTAGATGAGAAGAGATAGGGACCTCCAGTGACGAATTCCTCTTGCTTTCATTCAACTTAAGTCATTAGCAAAACTGGATCCAAGACTACATAAAGATCCAGAGGGGAGATCACATGGACGCGCTCAGCACAGCAGAAGCTCATTGAGCAGCTCTCCTACCAGCTCCAGCAGCTCTGGAGCTCCGGCTTTCCCGCCCGCTGTCTGCTGCCATCCCGTGGAGCAGCACGTCCTCTGCTTCCTCCCAGTGCCCTGCAGCCTCCTCACACTCCTCCCTGCAGGAGCGGCTCCCCATGGGCTTTCCAAGCCCCGCTGCGTGGCACTATTGCCAACAGGACTTCAGGGGAGCCCTGGAGATCTTTGGTAGCAGGGAAGAGAACAAAAAGAAACTTGAATTTGAGAGAGGAATAGCAAGGGATGATTTTAATTATTTTCACACTCCCCAACAGGATGATGAAGGGCTCTAAAAGGTAGAGATTTCATGCCAGCAAGTCACAGCTCCAGCTAGCTGGGTCATGAACCCTGGCACAGAGATGAGGAGTGTTAAACATCAAACTTCCTATCTGTGTCACAATTAACTCTGGAGCTCAGATTTTGAGTCCACTCTTTAGAGCTTAGATTTACCTAGGGAGCACAGTAAAACCAGGGCTCATTCCAGCTGGTGCTGCAGAGGCCTGTGCATGTCTGCTGCCCGGTGCCTGCAGGGCTCTGTCCAGGGCATTACTGTCCTGCCAAGGCAAAGTGCCTAAATAAATACATTGATCAACCAGTCAAAGTAAATGAATGAAACCAAACAAAAATTTTAAACTGGCAAAAGAAATAGTGCAAAATATTCCCCTAGCAGGGGATTATTTTTCTTATTTGGTCTGTTTTTCTCTCTCTTCTCATCTTTGCTTCTTGCTTGTGCGAGAGTGTCTGTGCAGTGCCGAGTGCAGTGGAGAGTGGTGCCATGTGCCGTGTGCTGTGGAGAGCGGCGCCATGCGCCGTGTGCTGTGGAGATTGGTGCTGTGTGCTGTGTGCCATGGAGAGTGGTGCTGTGTGCTATGGAGAGTGGTGCTGTGTGCCATGTGCCGCAGAGAGTGGTGCCGTGTGCTGTGGAAAGCGGTGCCGTATGCTGTGGAGAGTGGCGCCATGTGCTGTGGAGAGCGGTGCTGTGTGCTGTGTGCCGTTGAGAGCGGCGCCGTGTGCTGTGGAGAGTGGTGCCGTGTGCTATGGAGAGCGATGCTGTGTGCCGTGTACTGCGGAGAGCGGGGCCGTGTGCTGTGGAGAGCGGTGCCGTGTGCCGTGTACTGCAGAGAGCGGGGCCGTGTGCCGTGGAGAGCGGTGCTGTGTGCTGTGGAAAGTAGTGCCATATGCCACGGAGAACGGTGCCGTGCGCCATACGCTGTGTGTCGCTCTCCACAGCACACAGCACCACACGGGGACGTGTGCGCGGACACGGTGTCGATAGCGGGCACCGGCATGGAGGCACGGGTCTCGAGCGGCAGCACCTCCCCATGGGCCACTCAGGGGGGGCTGCACCGGCACCCCCCAGGGGGGG